AATGAATGAATGAATGAATGAATGAGTGAATGAATGAATGAATGAGCAAACGGACACGTGACTGACAACCTGACTGCTCCAAATGCAGAAGTTTTATTGAAGCAACTGGAGGAAAGAACTGAGGTACAAAGGGCAGGGCGTGGGGCGGGGTTGAGGATGGCCCCGACGTCCCTGAGCTCCTGTCCCAAAGCTGTGTCCTCCTAGGACTCCTCTGTTCTCTTCTTCCTCTCCTCCTCGTGCTGCTTCTCCAGCGGCCCACACTGATCCTAGAGACGGCGCAGGAAGGAAACACAGAGATGGGGGAAGGCGGGGGTCCTAGAGGGGCAGAGGTGGAATGGGCTCTGGCCTCTGGGACCAGCCCAAGCAGGGCCCCATCTCCAGCTCTGCCACTTCTAGCTGGGTGACGTTGGGCAAATCATTTTCCCTCTCTGAGCCTCAGTTTATTTACCTCTAGGATGAAGGCTCAACCCCTTAAAAACACCTGACATTTAATGTCTCTTGCATTCTCGCAACCACCACCACCTTGAGACGGTGCCCCTGAGGCTCAGGGTGGCCATGGGAACTGTCCGAAGACCAGGTGATGGGGGAAGCAGGCTGTAGACCAGGGCGACCCACCCAGGAGCTGTGCTCCTAAGCCCTTTCCTGGGGCTGGGGCAGGGGATGGTTCACACCACCGGTGGTCACAGGAGATGACCCCGGGTGGGAAAGGGATGGAGACATTTTTATTGCAGCAGTTGTAAAAGTATTTCATGTATATGAAAAAAAAGTGACCAGCTCATCAGCTCTGTGACTTTGCAGATATTGTGACATAGTAAAGCCTTTCATTGAACACAAGTGCAAAGGAAAGTAGTAAGAAAATAATCATACAGGTAATCCTCATTTATAGTAAAACTCGGGATGGCCGTCCTGGACTTGCTGCAGTTTGGGTGCCACTGAAAACCACAATAGTAATTCCCACCTCATGGGTATTAACAAGGGCCAGGGGGAGGTGGGGTAGCCTGGGGTGTGGGAGGCAACCATAATGGTAACTCCCACGAGTGTCTCTTGCTCTGTTCCCACCATCGCCCCTTGGCTCATGCTGTTCCCTCCTGTTAGCCTTTCAGGTCCTCCCCTCCTGCTCCAGTTTCCTCCCTGATTTTGTAGGGTCTTTTTCCACCTTGGCTCTCACCCACCACCCATGGGCCTCTGTGAAGCTCTGCTGTCCCTGCAGGGAGGCAGGTGCTTAAAAGCAGGAGACCTGCCTTGCTGTGCAGCCTTGGCTGTCAGCTCTCCCTCTCTGGGCTTCTGGGAGTTGCCCAGAGTGAGCTCACTGATAGAGTGGGCACTGCCCTGTCTCTTGCGTT